GATAAATGTGAAATAGTGTCTGAAATCTGAGTCATCAGAGTAGTGTAGCCATAGAGCCTTGGGGGTTCAGAGGAGGACAGTTGTTTTCAACTAGAGGGGAGGAAGAAGGTCTTCAAGCATAGGTAAGATTTTGGGTTGCCTGGGTGGCTCAGGCGGTTAAGCATCTGCCTTTGACTTAGGTCATGATCCCAGGGTCCTGGGATCGAGTCCCACGTGGGCTCCCTGCCGGGGGGGAAGCCTGCTTCTCCCTCTTCCTGCCACTCCCTCTGCTTGTGTGCATGCACTCTTGCTTGCTCGCTCACTCTCTGACAAATAAATAAATAAGATCTAAAAAAAAAAAAAGGAGTAGGTAAGATTTTGTACTAGCCCTCGTGTGAGGAAAACACACATAAGCAGAGGTAAGGGGAGATCTAGACAGGGAGGTCAGTGAGAGAACATGCATGAAGACTGGGAGGGGTGAGTGGTAGAAACAGTATCGTCACCTGGCTGCAATATGGGGGAGTGGAGAAAAGTGCCTGCATTGTGTGAAAGGTCGCTGGGGAAAGTTATAATGGAGGGATCAGACTAACATCTTCTGAATGCCCTAATCAATCTTAATACCCCTAGAAGTGGGACAACCACCTGTGACATATTCTTGGCCAAAAAAAAAAAAAAAAAAAATCTAAATGAACCTCAAGATCTAAATAGCAGTTGACAGAAAACATGGGAAACAGAGGAACATTTAAACAATACCACGAGGATACCCTCGGCCAAGTCCAGAATGTGAGAATGTCTTCAGGACAAATGAACTCATTTCTTCAATAAATACATGGCATGAAAAAAAGAAGAGAAAGAACTGTTACAGATTTAAAGAGATTTAAATGATGTATCAGCCAAATCAATGTGTGAACCTAAGCTGAACAAACCATCTGTATAAAGAAATTTTTTGAGACAATGTGGGAAAATCAGATACAGACTAGATATTAGATGAGGATTATTCATGTTGTTGGGTGTGAAAATGGTTGTGTGTGTGTGTGTGTGTATGTGTATTGAAGTTTTATCTGTCAGATTAGAGATCCCCTTGAAGTATTTACAGTAGAAATGATAAAGTGTTAACAATCTGCTTTCAAATATTGCAGCGAAAACAACCGACAAAAAGCCAGAGTCGGAGAGGGGCGGGAGATAGGGAACAAGAATAGCAGAAATTTGATTTTTGAAGCTGAGGGATAGGTCACTGCGTGTTTATTTTCTCTTCTACATGCTTTGGAGTGTGTTTAAAATTTTCCATAATAAAATGTCTTAAGGAGTTTGAACTTTACTGGGTGGGAGGGGCAGTGCATGACCCAGGTAACAGTGTGGGAGATCGCCAGGAGGAAGGCGGGCTAGAGGTGGGAGCTCATTTAAAACCTGGATTAGGTCTTAAAGGGACAACTTTCCAGTTATAAAATAAAAAGCCATGGGGATGTAATGTACGGCATGGCAACTCTAGTTAATACTGTATTGCATATTTGAAAGTTGCTAAGAGAATATGTCTTAAAAGTTCTCATCACAAGAAAAAATTGTTCTGTAATTATGTATGCTGGCGGATGTTAACTAGACTTACTGTGGTGATCGGTTCACAATATATGCAAATATCCAGATCATTACATCTGAATTGTACATCTGAAACTAATATAAGGTTATATGTCAATTATGCCACAATTAAAAAAAAAAAAAAACCTTGATTAGGGTGGTGGCCATGAGAAAGGAAACTTTTCCGAGAACAGGTAGAGGAAATAAGAGCAAAAGAGGAACTCTGGCAGGTTGGTGGTACAGAAGTGAATCAGGCGGAGAAAATTCCCTTCTTCCTCTTCAGTAAATAGCAATCATTGTCTTTAAACCGCTGCACTGGTACTACAGGTTGAAGAGACGAGGAAGAAGGGGTCTTCACTGCAGAGGAACTGAACCAGGTCTTCGTACTAGCCAAAGTGGAAAGCAATGGGGAAATGAAGCATTCAGGGGTGGGTTTTTGGTTTTTTCCTCCCTTTTTCACAAGGAATTACTTGTGGTTTCAGTATGAAATTTTTGGTTACAGTGATTCATTTTGATCATCCTTTCCTAATTTATTGAGGAAATGGTGATAATCCTTGTCAGTGCTGCCGTCTGAATCATTTATGGTATTAGTTAAAATAGATTTTATATTACTCATTTGTGAAATTGAACACTTTACAATAATGTGTGGGAGGTTAATTAAATGAGTTGAAATGATATGGTCTGGGGAAATAAAAGTTGAACTATAAGTTAATGAGAGCTTAGATTTAAATATATACCTTCTGATTTGTCTGTAGCATAAATATTAAAAATAAACTTCAGATAGAAACAGAAAGTAGCAGTTGTTTGAGACTAAAGAGAAATGGTCGTCCTTTAGCCCTCTACAAACTCAAAGACCATCAGTACTTCACACAGGAAATATTAGTAAGGTCTGACATAAACAGACCCTCCAGAGAGGAATACGCATCCCAGAGGATAGCTTTCTAATCACGTTTGCTCTCTTCTTGATTGTTCTTTTTCAAGAAATTAACGCTACAAACTGCAGCCTATAAATATGGGCCATTTCCTATGATCAACACCAATCTCTTCTGTCTCAGTTTAATGTACCTATTTAGAGAGGGCTGAGCCAGGTGGGGGAAAAATCTGGAAACACAATGCATTCTCCACCCTTACTCTGCATCAAGAAGGTGAAGGGACTTTTGAGACACCCAGGCAGGACTTCTAACTCGGTCCACCCAAGCTGGCATCTACCACCCTAGCTTGGACAGTCAGAAAGAGGTGAGTTTTTAATCAGGTTTGCTGCTGGCTTGGGCCCAATTAAAGTAGAATTTCTAATTCATGCTTGCTATTGTAAAAAGCTCTCAGGGAGGAAAGAAAAGGAGAGAAAAATTCCAGGCTAAAAGCAAGAAAGGTAGTTTTTATTTTACTCAGGGATGCGTAGCTGAGCCATTGGGTCACAGGACAGATGGGGATGGAGGGACACATGGTTATGAGTCTTATTATGGAAAAGATTGAACTACCATCAGCGCCTGATGGAAATGAGAGGGGGAGAGGTAGCAGCAGCATCTCTAACAGCACTACCTCCCTTATTGCATTATCAGAAAAGACAGATAACTGAGAATAGGCATCCATTATCTCTCTCTACAAAGGGATTAGTGTAGGTTGCAAGAAATTAATGGCTTTTGAGTTATCACAGAAATACTAATGAATGTCAGGACTGGAGATGTAAAGCAGGTAAAATTGGCTTTTCCCTGCCTCATTTCTCTCCTTTTCTCTTTTGGTTTGCTATTTTAAGATCTAGATCTGTGTTACCTTTTTTTTTTTTTTTTTTTTCTTTAGCCAAGATCAGAAATCATACCCTTTGGGAGTGTGATTTGTCTTCTTTAGGGAATGACTCAATTAGTTTATGACTGTCTCCAATGTGTGTTAGCAAAGAAATAAAGAAACAGAATGAAATGAAAATTTCAGAAATGAAAATCTCTACCAGGGAGGGGTGCTGCCTCTTGCATGGATGTCATTTTCACGCCTGATAAAAGTATCAGGAAGTCTCCCAAATGATAGTGTCCTTCTATTAAAGTACTAAACTTGCATACATTGCAGCTAAGCATTGATTAAAGATGGCACAACCAGATAAACTTGTGAAACAGGGGAAGGGAAAGAAATAATACCTACTGTATGTTGGGCATTGTGCTGGGAGCTATATTTCTCATTCAACAAGTACTTTTTAAGAACCTACTGTGTACTAGGCATTTTTCTATGTGCTGTGATAATAAGGATGAAAAGACAGACCTCTCCTCTGTCCTCAGTAGAGCTTACAGTCCAATGGGGAGGACAGACTTCTTTAAAAGCTTCAAAATTTATTTTATTTGTTCAGATAAATTTACACGATTATAATACAGCCTTATAAGAACCCATCAGAGAGGGCGCCTGGGTGGCTCAGATGGTTAAGCGTCTGCCTTCGGCTCAGGTCATGATCCCAGGGTCCTGGGATCGAGTCCCACATCGGGCTCGCTGCTCCTTGGGAGCCTGCTTCTCCCTCTGCTTCTCTCTCTCTCTCTCTCTCTCCCTCTGTCTCTCATGAATAAATAAATAAAATCTTAAAAAAAAAAAAATAAGAACCCATCAGAGAGGAATACTAGGGATACCTGTTACTGACCCAGGGCTGTGTGTTTGCAGATGAGGGATTGGGGGGAGTCAGGACAGACTCTATTCTTGGAAGAGAGTATGGCTAAGTGATGAAGGGTAAGTGTGTGGTAGCTGGGGGAAGCAGTGGGAAGGAACACTGTAAGCAGAAGGAACAGTGTAAGCGCATCCAGGCTCAGAGGTGAGAGAGAACTGCTATCTAAGCAGAGACCTGAAACGAGCTAGTTGAGTCAAGCCTGGGGAAATGGTTGTAAGACAGAAGGCTCATGAACTGGCCTTGAAGACTGATGGGGGTGTCTGAGAAAGAGGAGTTTATCGGCAGCAAACTTCATGCTCTGTTCTGTCCTTTCCACTGACCCTTCTTGGCTTTCCTAACCCAAAGAAAGATGGGAGTATTGGCAAGGAGTTAGGTCATGTGACAGGAGGAATGTTCTCTCTCCTGTATTTGGCACTCTGTAGAATGTTTCCTAGAAAACATGGAATCCTGGGGAAGTGCAGTTGTTTCATGGGCCCATGGGGGATAGTCCCAGTTATTCCAGTATTTCTGTTTTCCACACAGACCTCTGCACATCACACTGACATTGCAAACCACCCCCCTCCGTACTTAATCTTACGCTCATGATTCCACCTTCGTGAAGTTTTTTAGACCTGAAATTTCCCCCCAGTTACATCTTGTCATTTGTACTGTCTTGGAATTGTACTGCTTCTACTGTGTTTGCTTTGAACCAGAAAGATGTCATTCCCTGATCTCTTTAGGTTCTTGCAGCTGCCTTTTCATCTCACTGAGTTCATTCATATTCATAAATTAATGCACATTGCTTCTTGTGTTTTGTGTTTTTTCTTTCTAGAACATAAGCAGGCATTCCCAAACCTTCTGAAGAAGGGGTACCTGGAGATTAGGAAGGACCATGACAGTTACTGGCAAAGCTGTTACGCAGAGCTCTCGCCCTACGACTTCCACTTCTACAGCCTTGACAGCAGTGGCAATCAAGCCCTCTATGCCACCTACCGGCTTTCACACTTCCAGAGCATATCTGTTTTGGGCAACCTCGAGGCCAGGCTGGTGGATACCGTTCTGTATGACAACACTCAGCTGCAGTTAAAGGCAGAGTCACCATGGGAGGCTTTGGACTGGGGGCAGAAGCTTTGGGAAGTCGTGCATGCCGCCGTGCCTGGTTATGTGGGGCGGCAAGATGAGCTGGCCGACTCACCGGGGCTTGGTCATCACGTTGACTGTACACAGAATCATTGTTTACAGAAGAAATCCAGGGAGCTGCTCGCACCATCCCCTGTCTTGGATAGTCCCAAACAATACCAAAACATCATCAAATCAGGGACGCTGTACAGGCTCACTGTCCAGAACAACTGGAAGGCATTTACTTTTGTGCTTAGCAGGGCCTACCTTATGGCTTTCCAGCCTGGCAAGCTAGACGAGGATCCCCTGCTAAGCTACAATGTGGATGTGTGTCTGGCTGTCCAGGTGGACAACCTGGACGACTGTGACTCTTGCTTTCAAGTCATTTTCCCCCAAGATGTCCTCCGCCTCCGCGCTGAGACCCGGCAGAGGGCCGAGGAGTGGATGGAGGCTCTGAAAACAGCAGCCAATGTGGCGAGGAGTTCAGAGCAAAACCTGCAAGTCACCCTGAGGAGCAAACCCAAGGATCAGATGGGTGGGCACGAACTCAGGAAGAACAAACGTCAGTCTGTGACCACCAGCTTCCTCAGCATTCTCACAACTTTGTCTTTGGAGCGAGGACTCACTGCTCAGAGTTTCAAATGTGCAGGTATGAAGCAAATGTTTAGTCTAAAGCTTATTAAAGAACAGTCCTGAATCCCACTATTGGAATTCACTTTAAAAATCCCCTCAGTGGGCCAGTCACAGCTGCCTCTTGTTTAAAAAGCACCTCTCCTTCAAGGAGTTTGCTACATCAGAACATCTGTCTATCTTCATGCCATGCTGATGAAGTAAGTAGAAGCAGGTAGGATAGACCCCACTGAATCAAAATGACTTAGCCAAAGCATAACGAGCCTAGAATTTAGGCTTCTTGTGTCTGCTCTGATTCCATTTCCTCTGTCTTCTTAAATAAAGGTCACTGGGAATGTGGATGTCACAAATTGTCTCAAAGGAGATATTCAGGCCCAAAGCTGACTGCTGACACTCCTTAGGGAAGAAGAATGTCCGTAGTCAGTAACTGTCATTGATCATAACCTTGTCAAATCCTGCTAAGGTGGAATCTAGAAGGTCAGCCTTGATGGAAAATCTGGAGGTGGCCAACAGCAGGGTAGATGATGATTGGGCAGATGACCTCTGAGTCACAGGGGAAGGATTATAGAATGGGCAGGGACAGAACTTTTTGGCAGCTGCTTTAGGTTCCATGTTGCAGGATATCTCCCTTTGCTGTCTAAATGTCCTCACTCAGTTTGGCCTGGTTGGAGAAGAGGTTGGGGATGGGTGGTCATAGGGAATCCAGGAGGCAGGAGAAATGAAATCTAAAACTCATTTGCTCTGCTCAGCTTTTACCTTCATGCTCTGGTTTGGAGTACTAATAAATCACAGGTAGCTTTCTAATCTGGGGTGGGGAGAATTCAGTCCTAATTTGTGTAGTATGGTGGATTCCCAAGTAGAAATTTTTTATTTCATTTCAGTGCCCCTTCCATTGGAAAATACTACATTCAGTTGCTTTGTGCTACACATGGTTTATTTACCAGGTCACTTTTCATTTTCCTTCATTGCAGCATGGAATACTGGTTTCCTCCCCCAGGTAGGAATACTTCACCTCCTGTAGGGGGCAGAGTCTCAAAAGAAAAAGGCTAAAACTTGTTAAGCAAACCTCCGAATGTTTTTAAAATTACTTGGGAGGTTGTTCATTATATTAAAAATTATTATAGCAGATGGAACCTTAAGAATTGATCTCTCACAAACACAGCTAATCTAAACCAGCTGTTTATTCATTTAGTATTTGTGTCCCCTAACTTTTCATCCTTGTAAAAACATCCATTTGTTGAAAAAGCTAGTTGCATAGTATGTTTACCTTCTAAAACATCAAAATTCTCACTAACTTGTTTTTAGTTGAATTTGGCATTATCTGTTATTTTAAAGAGAAGCTCATTCAGAATATTTCATGGTTTTAGTGTCTTTAGAATGTAAGTTTTTACGTCCACGTAGTCCCTCCCCCTTTAAATATGTTTTTGAGGATTTATTTATTTATATATTTATTCTGTATTTTATGACAGAGCAGCTCTTTATTATGATGTCATTCAGTTGCTGTCCAGGCGATCTACAAATGTTGGCTTTTAAATCTACAAAATAGTGCAGTTGGCGTTCTTTCACTAAATTCTTTCTGTAGGTAAAGAATTTTCGATATCCTTTTTGGAAACTTGAAGAGCCCCTGCAGAGAAAATGGACCACAACCATCCCAAAATGCCTGAGGTTATGGTTTTGAAAATACATGCTTATATATAACTGTGTATTTCTTAACATGTGCTTGAACTTTTTATAGTTGTATTTGATGCTGTGTGGTTCGTTCCGTGGCTTCCTTTCCAGCCCCAGGGCTGCCTCATGCTAGGAAGCCACAGCCACAGTGGTCATCTTGTTGTTCTGGAACCTACCTTGGTCATTCTTGCCTCTGGGGCCTTTGCACTTGCATTCCTTCTTCCTGAAAACATGCCTTTGGAAATGAAGTTCTTTCCTTCTTCAGCCTACCATTTATTGTGTGCTGAGTTTCTGCCTTGGTCATGTGCCAAAAACTCAGGTGCACCCAGAGAAGTCAGAGCTGCAAGAAAGCAGACATGATCCTTGCCCTCATGGAACCTACAGTCTGCTCAGGGAGCCGGACATTAATCACATAATCATGTCATGAATGCCAGATGGCCACTGTGACAAAGCTAGGTGGTGGCAAGTAGAACTATATGAAATAGCAGCTCTTCAGTCATTTTTGACCGGCAAAAGGAGTTTGATAGGGTTGAACTGAACATGTGACCCTGAAATCACAGAAGGTTCCTGAGCAGAGAGGAGCATATGATGCAAGTGGTATTTCTGAACAGTTAATTTGGTGCTGCTTTAGTACAGCTTTTCAGGAACACCTCTGTAGAAGAAAATGAGGTACGATTCTCTAGCGAAGTTACTGGTTGGGATTTAAAATTTGGTTTGGCATCTGTGGTATTAAAATATTAATACTAAAACAAATGATATGCAGCTTATCAAAATATTTATGAAGTATGTACCTGTAAGTGGTTCTACACTAGGTTGCTCACAAAACACTGTATAACTTAGATCATAAGGCAGCCGCCCTGTTTTCTTCAGGAATTAGACATGTGTACATACCTATTTCCCTTCAGTAGATACAGGGTTTTCTTGGCACGAGTACATACAACTATTTTTCCTGTAATTTCCCGGCAATCAAGAAACCTACCAATTGAGTACTATAATCAAAGGGCCCAGGGCCTTGTTTTGGGTGCCACAAGATCTGCAAAGCTCACCGTTCAAAGCGTTCCTTACTGTTCCTGCTTTGTAATCTGGGAGTGATGTCGGATGGCCACTGTGGGACAGTGTTCCTGATTCTGGACTGAAGTTGAATAATGTTAACAGAAGAGACTGCAAGAAAAATAGTGAGCCGAGGGTATCCCCTCTACTATTTTCACACTGTCAGTTTTATGGTTTTACTCCTTTGGCTGCTGTTTAACCTCTCGGGACTGCTGTTGGTAATTACATCTCTCTGGCATTAAGAGCTTTTGCTTTCCTTCCCTTCCCCCCCCACGCCAGTCCTTGGGAGGAGTAAGCCCGGGGGAGGGGGGGGGGGAGTTTCGCTGTGAATTCTTCAGCCATTTAGTGCAAATTCCTGTAATTACCGGCATTGTGTCCTCCCTGAATGGCACATAATACAGCAGAAGCCATTCCTAATTGAGACCTTACAGGAGGTACAAATCCTCTCTTTGTTCAGCCTGACAAATTAGTGCCAGAAAGTGGCAGGGTCCGAGTGGGAATCAAAGGCAAGAAACACAAAGATGGAACTTAAGGCTACAGTAATAACCCTCTCTTGTCCTGAAGGGAAAAAAGGAATGACCAAGGAAAAATGAAGTTTTTTTTTTTTGTTATAAATTCCCTTGACATGACAGCACCTCGGGGCTGCTCTATTTATTTAGCAAAAGTGATTAAATAGTAATACAACAGGGCTGCCCATTGTTTCCCTGGGTGCCCCCACCTCACAGACCCCTGCTGCCTCGGCTAATTGATTGACAATGAACCTCTGATAAAGAAGTATGTTGTTAGGACCTGAGGTTGGGGGGGAGCATTTTTTTCTTCTCTCTTTGTGTGTTTGAGAGTGTGTGTGTGTCTGTGTGTCTGTGTGTCTGTGTGCGCGCGTGATTTCATTTTTGTTTGAATTGCACTCTAGTTTTTCTTTGCCCCCACCCTTTCTCGCCCCTTCTTTCTCCTTCTCTCTCCTTCTCTCCCCTTGCCTTTTTCCCCCCCAGAGCTTTTCGGTGGCTGCTCCCAGCTGATACAAACAGGTAGAGAGGAATTAGAATTGTAGTGCAGACTTTTGACAAGTTTGTCTTGGGAGCAAACTTCCTCCTCTCCCTGCTCCATTTAAGACAGAACAGTGGTAGAGCTCCTGGGTGGCTCAGATGGTTAAGTGTCTGCCTTCAGCTCAGGTCATGATCCCAGGGTCCTGGGACTGAGCCCTGCATCGGGCTCCCTGCTCAGTGGGGAGCCTGCTTCTCCCTCTCCTTCTACCGCTCCTCCTGCTTGTGCTCTCTGGCTCTCTCTATCAAATAAATAAATACAATCTTAAAAAAAAAAAAAAAAAAGTGGTGTGAGAAGAGAGAAAAGGGAAAAGGGGCTGATTATTGGTACGTTAGGGTCACAAGAGTTTTTTGTTGTTAGTTTCTCATTTGTGAGGATGGATGTCTGAAACTAGTCTTTGAGCTAAGATATTTCTCATAAATTGCTTACTCAACGTTTAAAAAAAATCTGTGCTCTAATAACATTTACATGTTGGGGTGAGGGCAGTTGTGGAGTAAGAAATAACAATTTGAATGATTTCATCTCCCCTCTGTTCCTGAAAAGCCGGGATTGGTTATTCAAGGGGAGACTCTGGCTGCTGGTGGTGTAACTCAGTACCCCCAGGATGCTGAAAGTTGTGGGAAGATGACTAGCAGCAGATAATTAATAGCTGCTGGTTATATATGCTCAACTAGCTAAGCGGAAGCTAAATCCCTAATTTAACTCCGTTACAGCTGCAAAAACAAATCATTTCAAGCCCCTTGAAAGCAAAATATATTAAACAAACAGTATCGACCTTGTTAATACCGCATGGCATTTCACGTGATAAATGAGGGCGTCTTTCTGGCAAAGGCCTATTTTATGACATCGTTTAGACATAAAGGATACCTTTACCCTGGTAATACAAGCATCCCTGATAGAAAGTATGGAGTGGTTAATTATTCATTAAATAGTTGCCAGTCTGGAAGTAAGCAGTATTTCTGAGTTGGGCATAGTTACTTACTGGCCTCAAAGTAAATCATACAGAATAGCAATTCTTAAGAAAAAGAGAAATTGATTCATCTCCCCCTCCGGTCGAAGACGAACCATGAGAGACTATGGACTCTGAGAAACAAACTGAGGGTTCTATAGGAGAGGGGGGTGGGGGGATGGGTTAGCCTGGTGATGGGTATTAAGGAGGGCATGTATTGAATGGAGCACTGGGTGTTACACACAAACAATGAATCATGGATCACTACATCAAAAACTAATGATGTAATGTATGGTGATTAACATAACATA